ACTGAGCCTCCATCCAGGTACTGCCTTCTCGAGGAAGTTAACAGTCTTAAGGAACTCACAGGGGTTAAGTGTCACTGCTGTCGCTGTCATCATTATCAAATACTTCATCTGGGCCAGACTGCTGTTCTAACTCCAAGGAATTCCATAGCAACTCCTCTTTACAACAATCCTATTAAGTAGGTACGAATAACATCCCCATTTTACGTTTAAGACACTGAGGCATAAAGCCTACCCAAGGACGCATCACAGGACAGTGCTAAAGTCAACATTTCAACCCAAGCAGACTGGTTCCAGCGTCTGTGCTCTAATCACTAGGCCACACAGCATCTGTGTGATTACAAATGAGACAGATCCAGGGCACCTGGGTGGCTCAGTTAAGTGTCTGCCTTCAGCTCAGGTCATGATCCTGGGATCCAGCCCCGCATTGGGCTCTCTGCTCAGCTGGGAGTCTGCTTCTCCCTCTGTAACCTTCCCCTTGCTTGTGCTCTCTAGTAAATAAAATCTTAAAAAAAAAAAAAAAAAAAAAAGATTCTAGGTACTGCTCTATCCACAAGGCTCTAGACTGTCGGATTCAACATTTATGCTCAATGAGCTTCTGGAGCTGGAGATGTACAAATGATGGCACATTAACCCAAAAGGTATAAAGTCTGTTTTTAAAACATCTTTGTTGAAAATTTTTACACAAATATACAGCTGTAACTGGCACAACTGAAATATTAGGATTTACAGTTCCTACGATAAGAAAAGTGTTTCGCGTCTAATGAAAACCCTTGGCAATTTGAATATTATATGATACTAAATTATACTATATTTCAAAGTTCAAGAATCTTAAACATTTAGTCTTAAAACTCTCCACCTGGGTGATGCAATCAGAAAAAGTTGTATGAAAATATTTAATTATACAAAACAAGTAGAAATCTACCTATTTAATAACCTTTAAATAAAAGGTACAATATTTTCCAACATGGGTATTGCATAAAAGGAAATTTTTAAAATAACGTTTTTTTAATGAATATGAGTACACATTTTATTTTCCAGTGCTAGTTTGAAGGAAGAGTAGGATAAAGGTGTGTGAAATAAAAACACTATCACTTATTAACTGGCAGGAAACCCTATGAAGCTACTGTGCTGGGCACCACACTAAATTAAACAAAACGGACTCATCTGAGTCCAGCTTCTTCAGGAATTCACAGTCTGGTAGGAAAGGAAAACAAGAATAGGGCAAAAGTGTGCAAATTCTTTTGAAAGTTTTAGTAGAAAAGGCTTCTAGAAGACAAATGTATAAAAAGATCCCTGCCTAACCTTCCCAGGTAACCCGGTCAACACTAGGATGCAGTGTTGGAATGACCAGTGATTACCTTTACCTTAGGGAACTCTACTAAGGCAAAATACCAGGGCTTACCAGCATAGACTGTGAAGCCAGAATGTCTGGGGTTGAATCTCATTTCTACCACATACCAGCTGATGTCAGTGGGTTCACCTGACCTGTCTGTGCCTCAGTTTCCTCATTTACAATGAGATAATTACATAGAGTTGATGGACTTACACTGCTATCAGGAGGGTACAATGAGATCATGTGAGTGCAGCAGGAACACAGAATGAACTAACTCACAAATCAACATAGCTTAAAAAGAGAGTCGACGGTGTGCATTTCTCCTTGCACTCAGGCCGTACCCAACCCCCAGTTAGAGCTTAAAAGATCTTGCCAACACACAGACTCAATTAAGGGGTGTGGTCAGTCTTTAGCTCTGTGTGAGCAAGGGGCCCCCATCTTAGGGTTTTTCCAAACTTGGTCAGCAAAGAGGCCCCTACTTCTCTTAAGCAAAATGAAATAGTTAAATATTTAATTCCATCATCTGAGCCAGAAAAATGCCCCTCTACTTGTCATTCTTATTTATGTGCAACACAAAAATAACCACAAGCGCCGGTTGTCCAGAAAAAACACACACTGTCAAACTGTGGTTAGCTGATTTGAGGTTTAGGGTGAATATGACTTTGCTATTCATTTGCTCATTTTACTGTGAGAGGAACAGACATAGACAATAAAGACTGAAGAAAATGAAAAACAAAAAAAACAAAACCGAGAAAACTATTAAGCCCCTCCTTATTTTTTGAATAATTTTTATCCATTTTTATTCATGTCCTAAATCAAGCCTGTCCAAGACCCACAGACCATTGTGACCTACAGACTTCTGAAATCCAGATGCCATCCCTGTGCATCAAATCCATCCCTGCCCTTGCCCTGTGCCACTCAGCAAGTATTACAGTTCTGCTCAGCCTGGAATCCCGTATTCTGTCGAGCAAGAAACATGCCGTGCAACGGAGCAGTTTTGCTGTGAGGACAGTATCACAGAATCTGGGAACACAAGATAACTTGGAAGGCTTCTCCTCCAAACAATTTTATAGAGAAAGCAGCCCCAGAGAAACCCGAGTCACCCAGCGAGCTTGCTGGCCACGCTCACAACGTTGGTTCTTCCCCTTGCTATCTGCTCCGTCTGTCCCTTTTTGTTTAGCTACAACACCATTGTCGGAGAAGAAACCTAACTTCAAAACTGAAACTCAGGGCTCAACTTTAAATAGCATCAAAAAGCATGAGGATACCTAATTCAGAGACTATATGAACTGCGACAAGGAAATTTTCATCTGGATTTGAGCAATCACAACACCAGGAACATACAATCGGCTAAGTTTTATAGCCTCACAGCCAAGTTCTGGAGAGGACGCTCTACAATATATTTAGACCTCTTCGTTTGTGTTTCGTATGACTCATACCCCCAGCCGAATCTGGGAAAGATTTTGTGATAAAGAGCAGGATTATACTTAATCCTTATCCCCGTCGCACACTCACAGGACTGAATGAGAGAGACGGAGACAGGGGGAGACTAGAGCTCTTTCAACACTACTGATTTTCCTCTTCCTTTGTAGGTTACTTAGGAAGCTGCATTCCTGGGGCGCCTGGGTGGCTCTGTTGGTTAAGCGGCTGACTCTTGATTTCAGCTCAGGTCATGGTCTCGGGGTCGTGGGATTGAGCCCCATGTCAGGCTCCGTGCTGGACATGGAGCCTGGTTAAGACACACCCTCTCCCCACTTCCCCCACTCACACTCTCTCCCTCCAATAAATAAATAAAAATCTTAAAAGGCAAAAAAACAAAAACAAAAACCCTGCATTCTTCCATCAGAAGTAATTTCAGACATGGTATTAAAAATAAGAAAATAACGAAAATTTTTCTAAAAATTCCATAAGATATTTCAAGTTGGGCTGATATGCACCTTTCCGGTTGGACCGAGAGACCGTTCTTTAAAATAAGAAAATATTAAATGGCAAATAAGAGGTTAAGGCTGTAATAAGTAAATTCAAATGTATAAAACAAGTAGATTTCAATTATTTCATCCAATCACCTAGAAGCAAAGATACTCTAAAGAAAATTGCATTGCCTTCCCAACTCCTTGGAGAGCCAGTTTAGTTAACAGCCTACCTCTGCTTCAGAGATGACCATACAGCTTACATGTCAAACTCATTTTAAAGTGTCAATCATGTCCCTTTCAATCTAATTAGTTTGGAAAGTAGTGTCACTGACCTAGAACTATGCAGACCATTTATTATCATACCATTTGATCAACCTAACACTTTACCTCAGTTGAGTTTGAGACACCTGTAGCCAAAATATAATATCCTTTCTCCCACTCATTACTGGTAACTCTCGATACAATTTCCTATTTACAACTCAATTTATCTCTATGAATAAGCACGGCCAACTTCACAGAAGCACTGACAGAATTTGCCTTATTTAAGATTTCATGGTAATTAAAATTGAAAGGTAAGGGGAACAAGAAAAAAAAAAAAAATCAGATATACCCGAACCAGCAGGGGGAAAGATCTATCTACACCTATATTTAGAAAACAGATTTGAGTTTTTGGATCCCAAGAACTGCTAAAGGAGAGCAAAGAGGAAGGACGGAGGAACATGGATAGGCTGGCAGACATCTGGGACCTTATACATGGTAGGGAGACTATTCTTTTTTAAAAAAATACATAGGAGCACCTGGGTGGCACAGTCGTTAAGCTTCTGCCTTCGGCTCAGGTCATGATCCCAGCGTCCTGGGAAGCCTGCTTCTCCCTCTCCTACTCCCCCTGCTTGTGTTCCCTCTCTCGCTGTGTTTCTGTGTCAAATAAATAAAATCTTTTAAAAGAAGTAAAATAGAATAAAAAATAAAAAAATATATAATATGGCAAGCTATTTTTATAAAAGGAGTCTGTGGGTTATAAACCCATTGTCATCAGATGAGTTTGTGTTGTAATAAAGAAAACCTTTCTCAGGTTCAGAGTATTTAACTTGACTTTGACCTGGCCAAGGGCAGGATGAAGCTGAACTGAAGACATAGTAACTAGCTCCTGAGAGGTCAGAGAATACCCCTGTACCTCCATGGGAGAAGCTAAAGGCCAGAGCAGAGTAAGCTGGGGGGGGGGCAGGAAATGAGGGGTAAGAGTGGCAGCACAGCTGGCTGGAAGATGCGAGCCAGTGAAGCAACAGAGATCACCTGGCCCCCTCTCTGGCAAGAATATGACAATCACCAAATCTTTTTCTCATTTTAGTGTTGCATATTTAAGAACTCATTTGCAAGACAAACATACAAGCAGGCGATCTTCTCTCTGAACCACAGAATAACATAATGAACCAGGGATAGAGAAAATACATGCATCCACCACCAGCATGTTGTATCCACATTTTTAAACATGGTATTAAAAACAGTAAGTATATCGGTTCTATTTAAAGTAATGACTCCTCACTCTAGAAGGCAATAATCTAAAGCAGGATGTCAGCTGCCGGCACTTCCTTTCCTAGCTTGTGTTTCCCTTTGGAGAGGTTGTATTTTACCAAAACTCCTGTTTGTCTGAAAGATAAGCAAGATTCTTCATTCACGTTTGCTTGATCAAGTAGTTATTGGTGACTATGATTTTACATCTGGTCAAATAAAATAAGCATGTATCTCCAACTTACCTTCAGGTGAAGAGCCTGTCTTTTGGGAAAAGACAGCATTTACTTTACTCTTCTTACTGATATCGCTGTTTACAGACAAGCTGGACTGAATTTTTCTGTGCATTTTGTGAGAAACAGGTGCTGAAAGTCTTCGATTATCTGCAGATACATGTTTGGCCCCGTGGTGAATTCCATTTCCATTGCTCAGGCTTGTGTGGCCGTTCTTTATCTTGCTGGTTTCTTCCTCACTTGGTTCCTGTGAGCACATTGGAAGCTGGGGCAAGCGCTGGGGTTGAGCTAAACAACAGGAAAAGTTGATCCAGTTAAAAAAAGAAATATTTGAAAATCATCAAAATATATTCAGGAACAGACTTTTTTTTTTTTTCCTGGGCTTTACCCATGGTTCTACAAAATGGAGAGAAAGAAAAAAGGAAAATATTAATAAACATGGATACAGAGAAAACATAATTAGTAAAAAAAAAAGGGAAGTGGGATAGGGTCATCAAAAGTGACTTTATACAAGGCATATGAAAACAGTGGGAAAGACTGCTTTGTTTTTTAAGAAAATTTAAATTGGAAATCTGAAAAAGTTATTCCACTCTCATTCAACAGCACGTGTTTGTTTTTCTATGTACCAGGTCCCTCTTTTGGGTGCTAGAAACATGGTATTATCTCAACATCCCCAGATAACGGGATAAAATGTTTAATTATCTTTTGAGATAAAAGGAAAAAAACAATGACTCCAAGTATCAGAACTGGACAACATAGAAATATATAGTTGTTTTCTTTTCAATTTCATTTTAATTTTTTTAAACAGTTTTATTTATTTAAGTAATCTCTACAGCTAATGTGGGGCTCCAACTCATGATCCTGAGATCAAGAATCACATGTTCTTCCAACTGAGCCAGTCAGGCACCCCTTCAATTTCCTTTTAAGTCCTGGAGAAAACTTTTTCCATATTTATTTTTTAATTTGATATAAAAATAAGCCATTTATTGGGAATAAGTTGGTTGGGAATAGAAGAGAGCTTCCTTAATCTGATAAAACACAGCTGCCGAAATTAAATGTCAGCACTTTAGAAATGCTCCCATTTAGGTTAGGACCAAGAAAAAGTGGCCCAACTTCACCCCTCTTATTTGACATGACACTGGAGGTACTGGTGAAAGGAATATAACATGAAAAAGAAATTAATAGGTCTGAAAAAAATATTTTTGAGATGCATACCTAATTGGAATGTTCTAAGGGAAATTTATGAGACTACAAACCCTGTGAAACACTAAGAATTTAACAAGATATATTCAAGATCAACCACATTAAAATCAACAAACTTCCTCTATGCCAACAGTAACCAAACAGCAAATATACAAGAAAAAATGAACTCTTTTACAAGATCAAAAAAATAAAGATAAAATAAAGAAAAAAAAGCCCCTCAAAACCTCCCGTAAGTATCTAAGAATTAAGCTAGGAAAAAAATGGGCAGAGATTTTATGGCAAAAAAAATCACAGAACAGTACTGAAGGACATAAAAGAAACCCTACTAAATGTAGAGTGAATATTAATCCTCCCCAATTTATTTATTTAGTGTAATTCCCATAAAATTTCCGACAGGCTTTTACACGGAACTTGAGAAACTGATCCAAAAATTTATAAGGAAAAGTAACCAAGAATCACTAAAGCAATTTTAAGGAAGTAAAAGAGGGCTGCAGCACTTGACTTACTACGTATATAGTCCTATCAAACTCCAGGCACTAAAGCCATGTGTTGTGGGTCCAGGCACAAATAACCAGGGGAAAAATAGAGAGAGCTCCAAATATGTATGTGTTTGCACATCTAAGTGCATATATACCTTATAGAGATAAATTACGGATGCATTAAATGCCTGTATGTGAAAAGCAAAACATTTCAGATTGAAAAAAAATATAAGAGGGGCACCTGGTGGCGCAGTCGGTTAAGCATCTGTCTCTTGGTTTCAGCTCAGGTCATGATCCCAGAGTCCTGAGATCAGCCCCTGGGGCTCCCTGCTCAGTGGGGAGTCTGCTTCTCCCTCTGTCCCTCCCCCTGCTCCTGCTCTCTTGCATGCATGCTCTCTCTCAAATAAATAAAATCTTTTAAAAGAATATGAGACTTAATACCATGATACTAAGGAGGGACAAATTGGATTCTTTGGACAATGAATCATAAAAAAAAGCAGGATGACTATTCATCATTTGTGCTGCCTGGCATTTCTGGACACCCTCACAGAGTTTTGGTCAATTCCTCTATACCATTCCTTGACTCCTCTGCAGCTAGCAGACAGGTTTGTGACCTAAGTCCTACCAAGCACAAGGATGACTTACATACAGCGGTGGCCAAAGCAAGACCACAGCCACACCAGGGAGGTAACTCTGAGCACAAACCGTACAGAAGACGTTTACTGGTCTTGGCTGTGGGATGCAGCGTCTGATATCCACTCCCTAGCAGACCATGGGCTGATGGCACAGCAGTGGGATTTTCAACAGAGAAGCCCCACTGAATGGATGGGAATGATCTTGGCTGTGTAACTCCTGGGAGGGTGTGTGTGCTAATGAGGAGGGAGCAGCACACCTCCCTGTGCTCAGGACAAAGCACAAGCTGACACCCTGCAACATCCCTCCCCCACCCCATCCCAACTACTGGGTGGAGTATGTGTCACATTCCTCCAGGAAGCTCCCAACTGTCTTACTATTAATGCCTTACTAGAGGGAAAAAAAAACCTTGACAAAGGCATGGCCTCCAGTATCTTACGTCCTCTTCAGCGTATGAAAGTTCTTTTGAAAACTTCCCTTTTCCCCTACCCCCACCTCCCAAGTATGTAATCAGCCACCCCTCATCACAACCCTGGTGCAGCAGCTCTTTCTGCCCATGGGTATGGGTCGTGTCCCCATGCGTTAATAAAACCACCTTTTGGCACCAAAGACCATCTCAAGAATTCTTTCTGGGCCATTGGCTCTGCACCCCACCCCACCAAACCTCATCACTATTCCAAAACTACATCACTAATAATTTTTTTTTTTCCATTTAAATTAGCCAAAATGGATTCTAGTTTTTGCAGCTGAAGAGCCCCGACTCCTCTTTCCCCCAAACGTCATTTGTTTACACTGGTTAAGTAATGAGATTATTAAAATCAACATTTACATTGATTGAGTAGCCCCTAAGCAAAGCTATCAATCACAGCACTTCAGCAAAAACAACTCTTGTAAAAACAAAAACCACTCGTTGCCAAAATTTTACTATTTTGTAATTTCCTGGAATTTCAAAATCAAAAACTGCTGTTCTAATTAGTCTTCTTTTCCATTTATGATTATGAACAGTTATGAAATGTAAATTAAATCTGAATACTAAGAACTCAATTTAGAAAAAGTATTGCATGCAACGCTTAACAATTATACATGGTATTGACAATGTCTAAAAAGGGCCTGATTATCTGTGATCTGAGGATTAGCCAAAACGGTATATATTTTTGACAAAGATGACAGTTTGCATTTGAGTAGGTCTTTAGCACACACTGTTTACTTCCATTCTGGTTCACATATCTTATGTCTCTTGAAGAAAAACATCTTAACATATCAAAACATTCTACTTATGATTGTGCATATTTCAAGAAAAAAGAATTCATTTCTTAACAAACAAAAGCATGTTTTCCTACCAAATCTGTTACCATTAATATCCGATTTATTAAACTAACCTATGAACTCCTCGTACAGTTTTTCGGTTCTTCAGTGATAAAAGAGAATGATTACCTAAAAATTAAATATTGGGGAATACGACAAAGTAATGGTGTGAAAATATATCAAAAATATTTTGGTTTGTCCTTAACTCTTGATGGAAAAAAAAAAAGTTACATCTCTGTTTAGCAGCTATATATGACCTTCTTGTAACAAAAATGGACAAGACATCTGCAAGAAGAGATCTATTATGGGTGTGCAATCATTTGATCTAGAGATTAATCTGCTGCTCCCATAGCTTCTTGTATCAACTAGAATGACATCCTAATGACTGCTATTGAACATAGATAGTTATGCATATGTATTTAAAGGGAATGCCAAAGAAGACAGTTAAACCTAATTTGGTGTTCTTTTCAGAGCACTTACCAGTAATCTCGCCAAATAAATGGAATATTTTGGGCCACTTTTTCTCTGAAAAGAATATTTCAAGCAATCTGAGAGCTTGGTTAAATTGAAATGTCCAACTGACCAATGCTAAGGAGCTTCTCGTCAATCAAAAATGTCCTGTCATAGTCCATAATCCAAGATAAATTTAAAATTACCATGTCATAAACATTCTCAATAAATAAAAATAAAGGTGGTAAAAGACAACTACGTCTTGCCACGAAATTCTTAAACTGACAGATCTGACCTTTTTCTACTATCAAAATTGACTATTTGCAAATTACCGGGTATGGCTGGAGTGGTATTCAAACATATCCTTAATGATTTATCTACATTTCAATCTTCAAAATGATATCTATTTCTGTTGGCAGAAAAATGATAGTACATTCATTTTTGTTTCACTGTCACCCAATTATTTTTCCTATAGTTTGTATTATGGTCAGGTAACAACCGAGTATTCTCTCTTTATGCCAGATTTTTAACATTAACACAATTTCTTAGTTTTATGATTTGGTCAGATACATGCAGTATGTAAGTCAAATTAAAACTGGATAAACCCTAGATAGATTAGCTATCTTAACAATTTATTTTAACGTCACTGATAATTTTTCATGGGTGTGACTTGAATCTTATGGGAAAATTATAAGTAAAACCAAGTCAGAAACATGATTTTATTCTCAAATGAAGAACAAAAACATCTGACTGATTAAACCCCAACTACTTGGCTTTAAACAGATTTCTTTTCCTTACTGCGTAAAAGTTGTGTATGGCTTTAAAAAAAAAAAAAAAGCACACTAATATGGGAACGACACAATGCTTCTTAAAACACAAGTGATGCCTAGGGACCCTCACTCTCCCTTTAATGATCCACTGCTCTCATTCAGCTGTCTTTCTTTTTTCAAATCTTTACATATGTGACAGCTCTCAAAAGTAGACCATAGACCATCTGGCATTTTCAGAGGTGTAACTTGTGCAAATTCAGCTCTATTGGGAGCGCACCGCTATCTTCTGCCTGCGTTATAAAGGGACAATAGAATGGAGAACTTATGAGTTGTTTTGAATTATTCATTTTTTTGCCTGTATATTCAAGAAATTTTACAAACTGCATTTTGTACTACATAATCACATGCGTTAAAGGTACAAAGAAACTTTTTGACACCTTTTTTCTAC